GCATCTAGCCCAGCCCAAAGCCGATGCATTAGACTCATATTATTTATAACAAGAATTGATAGAAAATAACAGTCTCGAGAATGTCCAGATGCTTGCTTGACGTATCTCCTCGATATGATGGAAAAACAGCAAATTATAAAACAAATAAGGTCAAATATTAACATTGGGTAACTTGGGGGAGAGTATACGGGTGTTCTTTACATTGTTCTTGAAAGTTTAAAATTATTTATAAATAATTTTAATTATTTATTATTTATAATACAAACACCTGGTTTTTAAAGTTTTAAGAATAGATCTTCTAGGTCATCTATGGACTATCCTAGCTATGGCCATATATGTTGAAAACAAAGAGCTCTCTTTAGCAGCTAGTGGTAAAATGCATAATTAAAAAAAGAAAACACAGAATTATTTAAAACCAATATTATAAGTGATTGTGGGAAAATATTTTCTGTACTCTGAATTTAAAATGCCATAACAGTTTCAGAAGGTGGGTGGTAACCTACCATATGCTTTGTCTCCAGTAGTAGTCTACATTTACTACTCTCCCTTTTTGACTGTAAAATTTCAAACTCAGTGGCAAAGAAAAATCCGTTGAACCAGATAAATGGCTTAGCATTTTTTTCAATGATTCTTATTACTTTTGACTGTGAATTCTTGTTGAAAAATATTTAATATGACTTTAAAATCTAAAAGTTAAAAATTAAATTGAGAGTGAAATGCATACTCTTTAAAATACGAAACATATGACAATCTTTAAAGAATTGGTAGAGATGATGGCAAGACCCAAATCAATTCTCTTGACCCTTCACGACCAGATAGGAAAATTCTTCTGAGGAAAAAAAAAATGTGACTAACAAAACTAAAAACTAGATAGTCTATGGCCATCCCCTCCTGAACAAGCATGAACCTGTCTGATCTTGGAAGCTAAGCAGGGTTGGGCCTGGTTAGTACTTGGATGGGAGACCACCTAGGCAGACCAAGTGCGGTAGGCATAAAAAATAAAAAATAAGGAATTGTAAGATGACAAGGTCTTTATAATCTGTGAGGTCAGCCAAGGGTTGTCTCACCTAAAAACAAACAAACAAACCAACTAGATATATTCCATTATATTAATTAAACAAAATTAATTTCAGTTATATGTCTTATTATTTTCCCCTTAGAGCTTAAATTTCTCTACGATGTTGGTTACATAATATTGTCCTCCCAAAGGGCTAAAGCGTAGGTCTAAGCATTACTGGAATTTGGAGAGTTAAACATGGGGAAGAGTTGAGCATCAGAGTGGAGTATCTCTGGAGGTACAATCTAAGGCTGCCATTCTCCATGCGCTTCCTCTTCAAACACCCTGGCCCTCTGATAATGCCAATTTTTCAAGAGTTTACTGAGACCTGGGTTTATGTGTTAAAATAGAGGTGGTGGAGGGAGCTCTTGAAGGCCATCACAGATACCTGCATCTCTTATTTACTCACCACCCAGCCGGAGTTAGTTATTACGTGAGGTTACTTTCCTATTTACCACAGAGCTTGGCTACAACAGGTGTTTTCAGCTTTTTCTATAGCAAGGGGCAAGTGAAGATCCTCCCAGGGAAAATGTGTGTAAAAGAAAAAATACAACCAACAATATTTTCCCCAGGGGAAGCTTCCTGGTATTAACTGTCCCTAGTCTTCTCTGAGTGGGTACCTCCCACATACATTTTCTCTGGAAGAGTCTTACAGGTTTTCACTAATGTTTCCAATCTGTGAACTTTTATCACATTTTAAAGACATCTTTGGAATAAGGTGGGGATGAGAAGATTAGAGTGGAAACCAGGAGCTCCTGTTAGTCTGCCATTTTATCCTCAGTAGCATTTCTGTATTTATACTTTTTATTCTTGCTCTAATGAACAGGATAGTTCTGATCAAACATAGAGAAACAATAAAACAATGTTATTTCTTCAGCAGTCATAGTCCTTGAGGGAGTAGGAGCAACATTCAGTGAGAGGTGAGATAAACAACTGTTATCATCAAGGAGCTGCAGAAATAGGGTAGGGAATGTTTATTGCTATCTTTCAAATAGCAATAGAATGGCACTGGTATCTATTAGTTCTCTTATATAGAAATCTTTTAGATTCAGTTCACATGCATTTCTTTCATTTAATTCTCCCAAGAATTCTATGAGGAATTTAATATTATTGTATCTATTTTACATGGAAATAGACTGAGGCTTAGAGTTTTAAATTTCATTAACAATATCTGAATTGAGGAATCAAAATCCAGGGCTCTTTGATTCTGTTTTACTAGTATAACATATCTAATTGCAGATACGATTGTCTTAATTATCCAGAAATCCTAAAATTTCAGAGCTGAAGTGAATCTCAGTGGTCATTTAATTCTCTCAATTTCCAAAGAAAGAAACTGAGGCTGAGGGAAGTTGAGTATATTGAACATGTTAACAGTTTATACCTTAGTAGAAATAAAATAATTATTTCTGGTTTCCCAGAGATAATTTTCTGTGCTCTGTTCTGTACCTCAATTTGATATTCCTCCTAGAAGCTGTTAT